TGTGTATACTGCTCCAGCTAAGCACTGTTGTACTGTGCAAAGGGAAATGCATGCAGGTTAGTAGCAGGAATCCCCTGCAGCACAACGAACAAATCCATCATTGTCATGCCTCCTCCTGCAACCATCAGCAGCACTGCAGCAGCGCCTACAGCCCCTTCTTTTATTGATGAGCAAGAAATCACATAGAAATATGAATTCAGATATTCCACATCTACAAAACATGCTTTGTAATTTGGCAAATTTAGAAAATAAACTTGCAACTTCTTTTAAAACTCTTATGAATACAATTAGAAGAAGTAAAATCCTGTCTGCGAAGACAGTAATAAAGAACCAATCCTGCAGGGGCAGGTTTCAATAGTGTTCATCACATGATGCATGGGGAGGTTTGGAGCATTACACCCACATAATACAAACTTGTAATTGCCTTTGATCGCATTCCAAATTTGCAAGCTTAGCCTGTACATTGGAAAAACCCAATTAACGTCTTCTCATGGAGGTGTGTTTCACGCGGTGCGCATTCAGACACACACAAGGATTCACACACAAATCTCCAGGGGGAGCCAGTCAAACGGTGAAGTGCTTTATCGTTCCATGGGTCACTTGATTCACATCTACACCCCCCCCCCCCTTTCCAGCTCTCCTTTCGCTGACTCTCTCCCTCGCTCTTATTTCTGAAACTTGCTGCAGTTAATTGAAAGCCAATGGTGTGAGAATATAGCTTCTTGACAAAGAGTGTATCAGGGCACAAGGTCTCTTACTTTCTTCCTCTCCTTATATGCTCTATAAATGATTCGTGCGAGTTGAAGAATAGCGCTGCAACCCTTGCTACAGCTGTTTTATGGGAATTTAATTTTGTTAAACTGGAAACACAGTATGAAGAATATGAGAGTAGTTAGACTTCTTGGATTGCATTGAATAATTTACACCCTTTCTTTCTTTATACGTATCACTACTTTATAGATTTAAAAGGCTTTTTTTATTCTAACTATATAAAAAACTTAATTAATTCAAAAATCTGATTTTTTTAATTTAATTTGAATCAATTTAGATCAATAATATACATACAGTTTTATAAAGACCCTGTTAAAATGTGTTTAAATTTCCCTCCTGAAGTTAAGGAGAAAGCACACACTCTCTTTGGCTACCAACAAGCTTCTGACTTGATTCTTTGGAATATTTGCCAATTCTATTTATTTCAGGAAGGAATTTGAGTTGAATTGCGTGGTTTCCTGATAATCAGGCTTCAAGAATATATCTGGTTGTCAGAGCCATTCGTTAGAGCCTAATGTAGCCTGCCATATTGAGTCCAAACTCTTTTTGGATGTGAGGAGGTTATTGTTCTGCAAGAATATGAAGGTGTGACCGAGTTTAAACCATGGTGATGGTTATTTGACATAAAAATAAATAGTTACATACATTTTGCACAATACACATCTACAATACACATCTGGCCTAAGTATGATGCTGCAGCTACCATGCTTGACAAGTGGTTTGTTTTTAGTTTTCAATGGCTCAATTTGACTCCAGTCTTTGTCTGATCTAGTGATTCAACTTTTCCAGAAGATCTCTTGCTCGGCGATTCGAACAGCTGTACATTTTTGTCATGGTCCAAGGTTTTGGCTTGAGAACAGGAACCTCTCAGAAACTCAGCTCATTGTGAGAGGGGAGACTGGTGTTCCAACATTTTGTCAACAAGACTCAGATTTTTATATTTGCTGTCTGTTACATTAAAGGTGATTGTTTGGGTCAATGATGTGTCAATGAAAACTGGTTTTAACCTAATATTAATCTCCTGGGATGGTTCTTATTTTCATCCAATTAAAAATGTATGGAGAGTTATGCCAACAGCCTGTTCCTGCATATACATACATATTTTGTTTTTATGCAAGTTGGTAATGGATATATTGAATATTGCAGGGGAACTGGAAGGAAAATCAGTCTTTTAGTCAGAAATTAATCACTTTAAACTCATTTCAAAATCAAATCATTATTCTCATCATTTAATGGGCAACTCTACTTCTTTCTTTCAGAGCCGCCCAAAAGTTGAACTTAACATCAAAGAAAAAGAAGCAGAAAACCACGACACTTACAGCCCCAGTGACATCATCTCCATCCCCGTCATGTGATCATAATCTGTTCCCAACTAACTTCAGCTCTGCTTTGTTGACGGCGCCTCCACCTGCCCCACCTTGTCTTCTCAGAGCAGCCAACAAGGTCAAAGATAATCCTGGGCTTGGAAAGGTAATGAAACATTTTCATTTCTGTCTGTCGTGTTATATTTTACACATGGGTAATGTAGTGACTATTAAAAGTATAACATTCTCACCTCAAGTGATCTTAAAACGCACTTTTATTGAATAAGGGCAACAGAAAAGAGAACTTTTAACTTTATACTATGAGCTCTGTGAGCGCTAACCTGGGAGCTGCTGCTGCCGTGGTGTATGCTGGGACAGCTGTCAATCGCAAGAATGGACAAGCCTGCTCTGATGGAAGGGTAGGTAAAGATGGAAGGGCGAGAACAACACTTTGTCCGATCTCGGTCTTCTTGTTCTTGTGAATTGGAACAGTAGTAAGGCTGAAGCTGTTGACATTTCACGAGTACACGAGCACATGAGAAGGCACAATTACACATATTGAGAAACGGCCACTGAAAAAATTATTTTCACACACAAAATGGACTAGGTAAACACTGTTACAATGAACGCTTGGCATATATTGGTTTAATTTAACATGAATTTTGGTTGGTTTTTGGTGATTATTTGATAGATTTATGGTGCATTTTGTCTTTGCAAGTTGAAACTTATAAGTAGTACTAAGTCATAAATGTCAAGAGAAACGCCCACCTAGAAGTTGGACTATTGAGTCTGAATGGATGGATGGTATCTGACTTTCAGATTCAAGATAGATGATGTTCACTTCAACACATGTTGCTTTTTCCTATCTTAGCTCCATACTGAATTCACTTGCATTGGATACTTGTTTACACAGAAATACTGGGGTGACAATGTGTTGCTGTCATGGAATAATGTGATCACTGTTTATATCTATTGCAAAGTAGATTTTTTTTTTATCGCTTAAAAAGCAATATTTGTTTTAGCATCATACCTACTTTATTGCCAAGTGAAGTCTGTCAACGTGTAAAAATACTTTCTAAATAAGTTCTAAAGCATCTAATTTGCTTGACCGTTCTTTTATTATAAACAAAAAGCATAATTATATTTGCATGAATATAAATGGCTCACTTTTCACATCAATAACACACCAAAATGGTGCAGATAGTATGCAACATTTTCAGATAAGTGATCACTTGAACAGTATTGATGATCAATAGTATTGAACATCTTTTATTTCATGAGTGAACTCCCAATTGGATTTAAAGTTCTGATAACAAAAAGGTTATCCAAATTCATCTGAGTTACTGGCTCAGTAAGGACTTTGGAGTTTTGATTGCTTTTTTAAATGATAATCCCAACAGTTTGGTCTGTATGTGTGCATAATACCTTGTGGAAAAGTGTTTTTGTTATGGTTGTAAGTGTTGTGGTATACAAGTTGAAAACTGGAATGCATGTCCCTCAGTGATAACGTCACCCCAAGTAGTAAGTGACCAGACCCCATTATGCATTAGGTCTTTTAATAAAGCATAAACAAAGCAGAATGTTTTATGTATAAAAGGATTTTCATACATCAAAAAGATATTTAAATTCCTATTATGTTTGTGTTACAGTACAGGAAACATGTTAATCATGAAATACAAAAACAGGTTAAATATTAAAAAAGGAAAGAAATTATCATAAATTATATAAAACCTAAGAAAATCGTCTGCTACTTGATCCCCCCTAACAGAAAAGAAGCCACAGTCTGAATTACATTAGATTGCTTTCTAAGCAGCTGGATTTACTTCTACCAATTTAAACACCAGCTTGACCTAATATACAGCAGAACAATAGATAAAGCCCTACATTCCAAAATCAACACTCCTTATAGTAAATCACTTTGCAGGTGCTCAGTATTTTTATTTGCATGTCCTCCACACATACATTTATGAACTTACATCACTAGAATATGATCTGCATATTCATAAAAGCACACATGGACAATGTTTGCGGCTGCTTCTCACTAATTCTACACTTGTATGAAGATCATAGTGAGAAAGTTGTATTTTAATATGCAAACACAGTGATTCATTTATTCATTTTTTTTATTTTCCTATTTTATAAATATTTATATATTTCAGCCCAAAACAGGAGCAATGTGCTGAAAAACTGTGCTGTTTTTATTTTTTTTTATTTTTATTTTTTTTAACCATGACCTTCACCAGTTTACCTAAGTGTATTCACTTGTATGTGTTTGTCAGAGTGGCTCCCCTGGTTCAGGATACCTAAATACAACTTAATGGTTGCCATGGTAACACACTTCAGGCTGACAAAAGTCATCTGTCACCATCGCTGAGGGGTGATGAAACTCACAAGTGTGTGTGTGTGAGTGTGTGGTTATGCTGGGGGATGTATGGAGCACACACAGGACTCTCAAGTGTGTGCAATATTGATCGTCCATGTAATGAGTTTTTAGTGCCCCCCTCCCCCTTACACAGTTTGACTGAGATGCTCCCTTACTTTCTGTGTCCCCACACTTGGAAAATAAATAAGATAAAATAATCAGACTTCTTTTAAAAGGTGTAGTATCAAAACACTGAGAGGAAAAATATCCTGTTTTGGTGCTGTGTTTAAATCATCTGTTATTTGTTTAAGCTCCATGTGTTGGAACCATTTGGCTCTGTGGGAATTTGTCAAGTATGAGTGAAAATATGTGCGTGCCATTCATATTAACCACCAGACGAGACCCAAAACCATCTCTCTGTTCAGCTACATTTGTAATGAGATGTACTAAAATGTTTCATGGCACAATAAATCCCAGCAAACACATGCAGCTGTTTAGTTAGAAAATACTGACAACATTTAGATTCAGATAATATTTTTTCTGCCTTTAACCGAGGGCATTTTTGTTGTTTGTAAGCATTTATTATTAAAATAAATAGAGCTGCAAATCTAGGGATTAAAACACCAGGCACATTTAAATTTGCTGTAATATTATTGTGGTATACTGTTTCTATTTGGAGACAATTGCACTTAATAAAAGGATACATTTGCGTCCATATATTGAATCATTATAATTCAATATATGGAGTTCTGGTTAATTGCTTAGAAGTTTTATTCAGGTTTTTTGGAATGGATTATTTTGCAGGCTAAAGCTGCTGCTTTGGAGTGCTTGTTAGAGTTTCTGTGTCTGTCTCCCCATATGGAGATGACAGATGTCCCCTCGGTTGTCAAGGAGACCAATTCTAAATTGCATTTTCACACACATTAATTACTCTACTATCGACCCATAAACACAAATCATTCACTGTATGATATAGGGGTAAGAAAGATAACAGAAAGTCTGTCACCAAAGGTTTCTACAATTGGTGATGAAGTCATCTGCTGGTTTCATCCACTGTGTTTTATCAATTCCAAAATCAGTCTAGCCATCTACCAGGGATTTTAGACCTTTTTGGGCTTCTCTTTGCTGATTAGCTTTATGGAAATTTATTTTAAAAAATTTTTAACTAAAGCTCAATGATAAAACAGTGTATTTGAATAATCACCAAAAAGTCCTGAGAAATTCCCTCAGAGAGCCACCAGACTCAAATATGCAGATAAGCTGAAATCAAACACCTGTAAGCAAACTTTGCTCCTTTAAATAGTCCAGCATTTTTTATATGTAAGTGTTTTTTAAGTTATTGAACACAGTCATTCATTCACTAGCACACGTGCCCATGCAGACATGTAGGGAGAAATTGGCTGTGGTGACATTTCTCCTATAAAAATGTCCTCTGTAGGGGAGGTCTGCTCCATGCTGATATCCATGCTGATACTATTTCCACACATGCATGCTCACACTCTGGTCTGCATGCTCACAAAATCATAGGATTACAGTCTACATAGAAAACTGTCAAGGAAGCAGCAAAGCTCCCTGTGGAAGGGTGAGCGATACGTTCTGCAGAATACAGGGAAGTTGTCTGTGACTGTAATGGGGGTGTTAGTGTTGTGCCTGATGTTAATACTGCATAAAAAAGATTGAGACATTACACGTGAAGCCAGGGGAAATCAGCCTACAGAGGTCAGATGTATTGCTGTATGTCTGTGTGGGAGTAGAGAGAATCATGAATCCCTTTATAAATGGATGTGGCTTTTTATTTCAAAAGACACATCATGTAATTCTACCTACAATGCCTCAGGATAATGTCATTTATTTATGTATTTATGTATAGTATATTTAATATGTATATAGTAGTTGATAAAAGTATTAAAAACATTTTTGTTATTGTTTTTACTGCATAATACATCACTGTACCATCAGGAAAGGTTGAACAGTAGTTCTGCAGTGGAAACATATGAGCATGTCACAGTTTTCTCCCAGTGCTCAGATATCCTTCTCTAAAGCTGTCACTTCATTTGCAGGTCTCTGTCACACCTGATGTTCATACGGTTCATCTCACCTAAAGGAGGATGAGCGACAACGAGATGCTGTGATACCTAAGAGAAACAGCTTTCTTTTGTCTTTTGTTCTCGTTCTCCTCTCAAATTGATCTACACCTTTATCTCCTAAATCTAAACGACGGATAAATCTTATCTCTCACTCCTTCTCTCCTCTACTCTCATTCAGAGAGCTTTATCCTCTATCCTCTTTCATTCCTGCCAGCCTGTATTTTGCACACATGCACACAGATTGTTACTTGACCTTGGGGGAAAGTGATACCATGGCAGATAATCAATTTTTAATAGCAGCTACGATTCATCTCAAGTCACTAACTGTGTGTCTGTGTCACCATTGAGCACGTGTAAGCCCGTTTTGCTCAGGCATGTTACTGAGCATCTGTGTGCCTCGTATCTAAATGAGTGAGCTAGTCTGTTATGACAGTCCAGTACAGTAGCCACTTTGTTCCATCTCATCACTGAAATATTAATGCTTTCTGTACTGGCAATCCTGGAGGAGAGAACCAACACACACCGATATGCATAGCATCTTTTATAGGGTTTATTATGTATTTTATGGCTCTCAGGGGCTCAGTAAATCAAATATATCTGACTTAAATTTGAAAATAGAATTTTGAGTGGGCAGGAGACATAATTTCCTCGTTCAGGAAGATCACTTTATTTTAAAGCGATCCAGTGATATTCTTATATTTAAATGTTTGCACTGAT